TCCATGATTATTATAATCTATCTCCAAAAAGGGAGATTTCCCACCCCAACTTTGCGACACGGGTTTTTTTTTTTTTAAAAAAAAAAAGGGCGAGAATAGCGATATTGTAACCTCAGGCGAATGTCTCTCCATCATCCTAAGTTCCTGACTAAAAAGTCTATCCTACTAGATGATAGTTATACATCACAGGTGCTGCTACTCTACACTACTCGTACCTCTCTCTACAGTCTTGGCTACTCTACTAGCCCGAGTCATCCCTACAAGTCTCGCACCTTACATATATATGTGTATATATATATATATATATATGTACAACATCCCTGCCAGATGTCTCGGGTGGTCCGTACAGATTACCTGTGGCTCAACTGTTCAGGAAATCCGTTCCTGACGCCAGTAGACCAGGAGTCACCAGACAAAAAAGAATTAATAAAATAAAATAAAAATCTAAATGAAGAGTGAAGAAATGAAAAATATTTCAGATTAAATCAGATCAGACGAGACATGCAGCCACGCCGTTTATTCTCTGCTCTCCCCGTCAAGCCTCGTCCATTCCTCAGATCATGGCTCACAGGAGCACATCGCACACTCTCCTGCTTCCCCACAAGGGGGCTAGGCCACGCAAGCATCATCAAACATAAACCTCCGTGCCTAGTACCTGTATCGTACTCGTATCTCAACAATACCGAATCCTTTTTTTTTTTTGACAGGCATCATCAAGATGATCACGATGATATCACATTTCTCAAAAGATTGCTCAAAACAAGTCATGGTTTTTCGCCGTTTTTAATTGCCCATGTAGTATGGCATTTCTCCAACAAAAACAAACCCCCCCCCCCCCCCCCCCCCCCCCCCCCCCCCCCCGTCATTAAAGAGACGCCGGGTCTGGTCGAGAGGTGACATTACAGGTTACTATGGATGGTCATGATAGTAGGTCGACGCGCCATCTCTCTCTTGTCGCTGGCGATTGCACATTGCCGGCAATCGCATATCATCGGCACTGGAGTAGAAAGAAGAAGAAGAAAAAATGCTCGGTGAATTATTACTAACTACTGGATGAAGAGAGACAGAGACAGAGACAGAGAGAAAGAGAGAGAGTGTGTGTATGTGTGTGTGTGTGTGGGGGGGGGGGGGGGGGGGATAAAAGGCGCTTCCCCTCCTTTCATCGTTTCTTTGCGGGTGCGCGTGTTTCGACCAGGAGACGTCGTCAACCAGCGGGTNAAAAAAAAAAAAAAAAAAAAAAAAGATTGTGGTATTAAACGTTCCTTGGTTGCCCATGTAGTCATGAAAATAGCCGTGAGAAATACAGGAGGAATAAAACATCAAAGAGAAGAGAGAGAGAGGAAAAGTAATACAAACGAAACGCCCACGTTCATAATGGCTGTCAAAACAGATTGGCCCCGCCAATTTAAATAAAATAAAAAACAAATAAAAATCCCTTACGCCGAAATGGAAGAAAGGATATGGCAAAAACAAAACAAACACCTCCCCCCTCCCCAAGACAAGGAAAAGATGGAAAAGATATAAAGGGGGGGGGAGGAAAAAGAAAGAAAAAAAACACGAGGACGGCAAGCTACCACCCCGCCGTCACGGGAACAGAATGAACCATGTCATCAGCCCTTCTCCTCTTAGCAGGTCGAGGGCTGGTAGTATCGCCCCTACCCGTCGTGGCGTGGCCGTGACCGTCAGCGGTAGCCCAGTGAACAGGGTTCCACAGGCTCTGGTGCTGCTCCATCTTGGGAACGGCAGCCCATCCGGCAGATGCCTCAGGAGTGTGATGGGTATGCGGCACTGAAACCCCGGTGGGCGTGCCGGACCACTCGTCCAGGGGGCCAATGTCCCATCCGCCATGGACACCTGCCGTAGCATCGGCGGGGTGGTGGTGGTGGTGGTGGTGGTGCGGCTGCTGCTGCTGATGATGATGATGATGGTGGTGATGTTGCTGGTGCTGCTGGTGGCTGTCCTGCGAGTTGTCGTAGGCCAGCGTGCTCGAGAGATCGAGACCGGCGGTCACACCGGTCGGCATGTAGGGGTTCACGGCCGCTGCGCTCATGGGTTTGACGTCGGAGAAGCTGTCCACGTGGCTGGGCGCGGCTGCAGCGGCCGCGGCACCGTCAAAGTACGACTGGTTCTGCGCTGCTGCTGCCGCCGCTGCCGCCGCCGCTGCCGCCGCCGCTGTCTGACCGTCGGCCGCGCTGCCGCCGGTTGAGCCCGCCGCCGCTGCCGCCGCCATGAAGCCACCGGCGCCGCTGCCGGCGTCGAAGCTGCCGTGGGTGGAGTACGAGCCTTGGAGGGAGGCCGTGGGCGGCGGCGTGGCGAGACCGCTGGAGAAGCCGTCGAAGAGGGCCATGCTGCCGCTGGTCGGCGCAGACGCCGGTCCGGCCGCCGACGCCAGGCTCATGCCCGCGCCGCCGTCCCAGGCCTGACCAAAGTTCTCATTCATGGCTGCCGTGAGGTGCTGGCTCACGCTGGGCGTGGGCGACATGATGGCGTCCCTGTTGACGACGGTCGACGACGACTGAGGCGACGGGTAGACCAGCGCCTTCTGCTGGTGGTAGCGCGACATGGGGTCGTTGACCGTGAGCCACCTCCACGTGGTGCCCGCCGGGCGGAAGACCGGATTGTACTTGTACCACTGGTTGGTGGTGCTGAAGCGCCAGAAGATGATGGCCTGGCGCGTCCAGCGCTCCGAGTCGGGCGCACACGACCAGAGCTCCTGGTACATGGCCACCTTGCAGATGAGGTCGGATCCCGTGGGCTCGCGGCGCGCCCAGGCGGCGGCGTCGCCCTCGTCCTCGGACCTCTTGCGCTTGCTGCCGGCGCGGTCCAGGTTTCTGCCGGCACCGTTGCCGCGCTTGTCCTTCCTGCTCTGGTGCTCCGCATCCGGGTACTGCACCGCCATGCTGAGGATGCTGGCCCATTCCACCGCCGGGAAGGGGACGTGTATGTCCTGGCGCAGGCGGAGGTGGCAGTCGCAGTCATGCCTGGCGTCGCTGCAGCCGCGGCGGTGGATGCCGCTCTCGTTGGTGTACACGTCGGGCTTGCCGTCCTCGCTGTGGAGCTCCGCGGGGCGCGTCAGCCTGGTCACGCACTTCCATCGGTGGTTCTGGAGGGCGTGCTGCGTCAGCGCCACTTCGACGAAGCCCGTCAGCTCGGAGCCCGACGGGAACTTGGCGTGCTCGTGGAGGTCGATCGTCGTCGACATCTCGAGCAGGAGGCAGTCCTCGTCGCGCTGCGGCAGCTCCAGGCCTTCGTACAGGGCGGGCGCATCCTTCTGCCAGCGGCGGGTGGCGGACTTGGCGCACGCCGAGGTGGTGCGGTCCAAGGAGCGGGTGTACTCGTGGAGGAGGACGTCCTTGCCGAGGACGTTGGGGGTGTCGTCGCAGTTCATGTACTTGTTCAGGTGGGGGAACGACTGGACGTCCAGGGGGGTGCCGTTGACGTCGTAGGCGACGTCGTCGCGTATCTTGACGTCCGGAGACGAGACGAAGATCTCGACCGTCTTGGGGCGCACGGCGATGGAGGACTGGAGAGCCAGGAGCTGCGAGAAGTACTCGTAGTTGGGCTTGACCTCGGGCACCTGGCCCTCGGCGAGCGCCGTCAGGACGGGGTTCGACTTGAACGACTCCTGCTCCTCCTCCTCGTACATGTCATCCGAGTTTGTCGTGCCGGGCTCCTTCTTCTCCTCCGAGGGGAAGAGAAAGTGGAAGCATCGCAGGTCCTCGAAGAACTTCTTGACGACCTGCATGTGGCTCGATACCTGCTTGCGACCCATCTGCTCGATGCTGTCGTTGCTGTTGTCGATGCGGAAGATCTCCTTGCTGCCGAGGACAGCAACGCAGATGACGAAGATGTATTCGCTGATGAGCATGTTGCGGCCGTAGAGCTTTCCGCCCATGGAGAACTTGCGCCGCCCCATGTGAGGCATCAGGAGAACGGCTGTCTTCTTGTTAGCTCCCCAACTTTCATTCCATCTTCATCTCGTTCTCACGTCTATCCTCTCATCCTTGCTCTTCAGGCGGTCAAGTACTCACCGTCCACAAAGGCATCCTCGAGCTCCGGTCGTCGCCACACGCCGCCCTTGTCCTTCTGGGTATCCTTGTGGGCCTGACGGTTGCGGTACTGGCGGAACGCAGGCCAGTAGTAGAGAGGGTTGATGCCAACCCTAGGCTTCGCGCGCTGGTGGTAGCGAGGTCGATGCAGCTGAGGCGTGTGGTGGTCCCTTTGCGTGGCCGACTGGGAACGCTGGAGGCAGTCAAAAGACTGCGAGGGCACCATGGGAGCAGGAGGCATGGTGTTGGCGCTGTGGCTGGGAGGAGGCTGCTGCATGGTGGGCGAGAGGCTCACGGGGCTGTTGTAGCAGGAGAGCATGCCGCTCAGGTTGTGATGCTGCTGCTGAGGCATGTGTCCGTGATAGCTGTGGTGGCGCTGGGGCAAGGTAGGAAGAGGAGCATGGTGGTGCTGGTGCTGCTGCTGGTGCTGCTGCTGCTGAATATTGCCGGTCGACTCCCTCAGAGGAAGCCTTCCGTCGGCAAGGTGGTAACTCCGTCTCGAGTCGATGTAGTCCGGGGCAGGGGAGAACCTCTGGGAAGAGATGATGGGAGGATGATGCTGGTAGAGCGAAGTCGACGGAGCTGTTGATGAAGCCATGGCGTAACCCTCAAGGCCGCCGGCGTGGTGTGTGTGTGTGTGTGTGTGTGTTTGTATGGAGAGAAGCAACAAAAGGTTGCCAGCAGAGGTGGTATGGACGGGTGTGTGTTGTGTGTGGAATGTCAAAAGACTACCAGACGATAGTCAAGCTGCTCTCTGGGCGCAGCATATGAGAGGGGGATGCGTAGGTGTGTGTGTGTTGGGGAATGGAATTCCGGCACGTAGCAGCACACGCACGAAGGAAGTGATGTTTGCGGTATGTGAATAGGTAGGAGCGAGAGTGCTAAGAAAGAGAGTGTGTGTAAGAGACTGTGAGAGCAGCTGTTGTTTTGTTCAAGAGATAGAGAGAGAGAGAGAGAGAGAGAAGAGGAAGTGATGGAGGACAAGAAATGTTGGAAGGAATTCGGGACGGGTGGGTAAATGTATTCGAACGGGAATGCCCAGGGGTGAAGAGGAGAAAGGAGGTGATGCCGACTGGAACGGAGTGTGTTGGATTGATATCTTCTTGGATGTCGATACTCTAGCAAGTATACATGTATAGAATCCAAGACCATCGATGAGGAGGAGTACGAGGAGGAGGGGAGAGGGTGGATCGGGGGGTGGGCAGGTAACTTACACGGACATCCACACCCACACCTCTCTGTACATGTCGTGGATGGGTGAGGAGGGGGGGCAGGCCACCACTCTTCCCATACATCTCTCTCTCTCTCTCTCTCTCACTCTCTCTCTCAGAAGGGACGGGCAGAGGAGAGAGAGGGTCGTATGATCCACGAGTAGGGTGCGTTCGGGGGGGGTATAGAGCAGCACACTCTCACCCCCCCCTCGGATCTCCCCCTCGTCACTCGTCAGTCCACGACATCAGACCCAGAATATACACTCCTGCTCCGGGTTGACGCTAGAGGGAATTGGGGACCCCGTAGCAAGGAGAGAGGAGTAAGAGGGAAAAAGATGGTGAGGTGGGTCGAGAAGTCGTCCGGTCCGTCGACAATGTCCCAACGCCGGCGGGAAACTCTCTCTCTCTCTTGTGCGTGCGTGCGTGTGTGTGCGTGTGTGTGTTCCGCTTCCCTTCTCTCCTTGAGCGCTGCGAGCTGTCAATTACTCTCCCCTTACCCTTCCTATCCTCCTCCCTCTCCCTCTATATCGTCGTGCGCGTGTGTTCCCTGCGGGTGGGTTGTCAATGATTGACCTACCCGCGTTGTCATGCAAGGGAGAGAGGAAGGAACTGGACGGTTTTTTTTTTGGGGGGGGGTTTTTTTTTTCTGTTGTGTGGGGTGTCGTAGCAGCAGTAACAACGTCGCCATCATCTTCATCCTGCCTCTCTGCTGCTGCCACTCTCCGGCTATGTATGTCTCATCGGAGTAGCGTGCTGAAGATTCCCGTGGCCTCTTGATGCGAGATGATGTACTCGTTCAACCTGGTTGGGCTGGCCTGGACAGCTAGAGTCCAGAGCACAGGCACTACTACATCCATCCTGTCGGAATGCGGAAGGAGATGACCATCAGACAATGTCCACGACAGCTGCATTCTTTGCAGAGGAAACAAGCAAGGTCTGGTCCTTGGTCTGGCCCTTTCGGAAACCCAAAATTTCTCATTGTCGTCCTCGTCGTCGCTGTTGTTGTTATTGTTGTTGTTATTGTTGACGTTCCTTTTCGTCTCTGGTCTTGGTCGTTCCTCTGCTTGCTTGTTCCCCTTGAGATTGTGGTCACGTTGAAAATCGATAGCCCTCCCCTTTTCCCACCCTCCTCCCCCCCCCCTCCTTCCCCCCTCCACTCAACGCGTCGCCGCGTCGCTACCCTTGGGAAGGGAGAGGAGACATTACCATCACTACCACCAGAGCTACGGTATTACTGCTACTGATACTGTTGCTGCTGCTGCTACCATCAGAGCGCACTATTACTTCCCGACTGCTAATCTACTCCTCTTCACAAAGGAGAAAGCGAATCATCGACCCACTGCCAGGGCACTACCGGGACACTATCAGGGGAGAAGAATGGAATAAAGAGTTGATCTCTCAGTCTATCGTACGAGCTACAAGCTTCAAGGGCCCTTTATTTCATGCTGTTTCGTCTCTGGAGAAGGCAGAAACCAAAAAAAATTTGGAGAAGAAATGAGAGAAGAAGAGAGAGTGAGAGAGTGAAGAAGAAGAAGAAAGTCTTCTATTGGTTCCATATTCATGGTCGATATTTCATGGTCAATGAATGTTCTTGTATTCGCACACACACACACACACACACACACACACCCCACCCCCACCCCAATTGCTTCATGTTCTAAATGGCATCACAACTTTTACATCACCCCCTCCTAGAGACCCTCCTCTCCTTCCTCCTCATCACCAATCGTCACCTTTTGTCTCCCCCCTCCAGTCAGCTTCTGCAGAGCCATTTTATTGGCCTGCCCGCCCACCTTGCGCTGCATCTTCTCAATCTCTTCCTCGGCATCCGCTGCCTCTGCCTCCGCAAAGTCGATCACCAGTTTCCGCCCCAAAATGTGGGTATCCCGCAGTGAGTTTAGCGCGTTCTCTGCCTCGCGAGGCGTGACGAAGTCGGCAAACGCGAATCCCCTTGCGGTATGGTCTGCCTTCTTTGGAACGCGGACTGACCTTAGCTGCCCGTACGTGCCGAACAGTGTCCGGATGTCATTCTTGGTCGTCTGGAACGGCAGGTTCTTGATGACGAGCTTCGTCCTCTGCCCGGCCGCCCGCTTGGCCTTGTCCTCCCGACGCCTCTCCTCTGCGGCATCCAGCCCCCTGTGCGATGCCTTGACGGCCAGCGTGTGTCCGTCCAGGACGTGGCCGTCCATCATCTTGAGAGCCTCGTGCGCCTGGGCCTTGGTGCGGAATTCGACAAAGCCGAAGCCCATGCTCAGCGTCTTCCCGGGCTTCTTGGCATCGTTCTTGGTCTTGACCCTGGCAGAGACGAATCCGTCCAGCGACGAGAATGCCTCTGCCAGTCTGTCCGTCGACGTGTCAAAGTTTAGATTGCGCACGAACAGAGATGTCGTGTCTACCACCTCATCCGCCCTATCGGCGCTCGACAGTAAATCGTCGACGTCTAACTTCTGGGCCCCCGTCGCTGACCCGTACCCGCCGGTGCGCGATTGGCTCGGTACCACACCACCGCTGCCGTCTTTGAGCAAGTCCTTGGGAGCCTTCTCCAAGAACAGCACGCTGTCCTTGATGCGGCGATACGCTAGCTTCCCGAATGCTGACTTGGCGTCATTGGCCTGCGCGAACTGCACAATGGCAATCGTACCGCTCGGCGGCATGAGCACCCGCAGGACCGGCCCGCCCGCCTGCTCAAAGAGCGTCCTGATCTCATCCATGGACGTACCGTACGGGAAGTTCTTGACAAGGATCGCCGTGTCCCCACGCTTGTTGGTCCTGAACGCCTCGAGATCCACGCCGTTGGATACAAAGTAGGCCTTGGTTTCTTGGATGACCGTGGTCTCGGCCACTGCTTGTCTTACCGCTGCGTCTGCCGACGTCGGGTCCAGCAGCTCCGACTTTGAGACACCCAGCCTGCTAGCAACAGAGGCGTTGACAGCATCCTGGTTCATGAAGAGAGAATTCCAGTTGAACGTGCTGGACGCCGCCTCCTGTCTTTTCCGAATCAGGTTCTGCTTCTTCAAGGGCAGCTTGGACAGTTCAAATTCGTCCAGTCCCGAGTCTCGCTTTGCGCTGCCAGGAATGATGTGCAATATTCGCCCTTGAAATGTTGTACCATCCATGGACTGGAATGCTTCCACAGCCCTAGAGGCGTCCGCGAAGAGGATCATGGCAAATCCCTTGCTGGCCCCCGTTCTACTAACGGGTATATGCACCTTCAGACAACGTCAGCGTAATTTCCTTTCTTGCCTCCCAGGAAAAAAAACGAGTAAACAATTCAGGATGAAAAAGTCAAGAGACTTGGTGGCTGCTCAGACAGGTCGAAGCATCTACTAAAATAATCGCCCAGGTTTCACATCATATACCGGAGTATAAGCTGTCCCTATCTGGGGTTCATCACAGAAGCCACATTTCCCTGTCCTCTGATATATGTATAAGAGGAGCAGAGATCGGAAACAAGTAAACAAAAAACAAAGAAAGGAAGAAGCAATAACAACGCCAACAGCGAATGAAAATCAAAACAAGGGTGCGCGTAACGTAAGAAAAATAGAGTCCAGACTAAACGTACCTCTTCGATAGTGCCAAATTTCCCGAAGGACTCTCTAATCTCATCTTCAGTCGCTCCAAATGGGAGGTTCCGAACAAAGAGCCGAGAAGTTTGCCGTATGGCATCTACGGTGGTATGCCCAGTCGGCTCTCCCAGCTGCGCCCCTTGGTTGATCGCACCAGGGGCATTGTCGCCACTGGTGTCAACGGTCTCCCGTCCAACCTTGTCCTCGGATGACTCGCCGTCGCCACCAGACCTTGGAGGTGGCTGAGAAGTCTGGGCGTCGGCGTTGCCAGAAGCAGGCTGGGGAACGATGTCGTCAGGATCCATGAGGTCCAGAAGACGGTTTGTCCGTGAGCGCAGCCAGTCGTCATCGGTGGCGGCAGGAGCGGGAGCAGAGGGAGCAGTCGTTTCATCAACCGTCATGGCTGTGTCTTGCTTCACCTCCTGACCCTCATCGGACTCCGTCGAAGCGGCTGCAGTGGCATCATCGTGACCGAATTTGCCGCCTGCTGCGGCAGCGGACATCTGTCGCCGGGCTTCTCCAGCCACGGCTGTCTGGGGCGGCCTCGCCACTGAAGATGAGGGGGTAGCAGCCTTGCTGACAGTCTCAGCCGGCTTGTTTGGCTTCATCCTCGCCTTCTCCGTCGGGATCTGCTCGTACTCGCCGTCACTATCGCCCTCTGGGATAGCAGCCTGGGGCACGGCACCAGGCAATGTCTCGCCATCAGCGGTGACATGGATGTTGCTGCTGCTGTCCAGCGTGTCCGCGAGTACTTCCTCCCTCGATTTTCCAATGACTCGCAGGTACTCGCGTAGTTTGGGGTCGGATGATTGGCTTGACGGCGCATCAATCTTCCTCTTCTTTGAGACAGAGGGCTCATCAGCGCCAGCGACTTCACCGTCAGGTCTCCTCTTTACTGGAGAGATGGCGGAGCGAAAGTTTCCCTGGCGTTGTCTGTTCAGGGTCGGGTCTGAGATCTAACATTCCAATTAGCATGGGACCAGACTAGCCCGGGCGAGGGGGGGGGGTGGTAGTAGGGTCACAACATACAGCTTTTGCTGGTTCGACAGAGATCCTAGACATGCGAACAAATGACTTGTTGAAATATTTGACAGCTTTCGCTGCATCCTCGGCGCTCTTGTAGCCGATGTAGCCAATTCGGCGTTGCGGGATCAGCTTGATGTCGGTGATGTCGCGGTTACCTGCGGAGAAGTGCTTTCGCGCCTCAGCCTCTGTGAGGGAGGTCGGCAACCCCTTGATGAAGATTCTTGATGTCTCCATTGTGATGTGTATGTGTGTGATCCCGTACAGATAGGATGGGTTTTGGGGTATATCAGGTCATGATGGCGGTTCTGCCAGAAAGAGAGGTCTTAGCAACTCTTTTTTATGTTTTTGTATGGTTACTGTGGGAGAATGGAAGCATGGAGAGAAAAAAAAAAAAAACTTTGAAGAGCAACTTATCCTGGTGGGTCCACCCTCGATAAGACAAAGCGCCCCGCATGCCGCATATCAGCCATACGTGAACTCATTTTTTCTTATGATTCACTTACCCTACATAAGTATCCATGATTTCTCGATGCCTTTAAGGAACAAGATGCTTATATTTCACAAGAGTTATTACGTCTAAGATGGTAATTATCGTGTGAAATTTCCGAGAACTCACTATAGTCTTTGGGATACACTAGTTACGAAAGCAACGCATGTATAAATTATTCAAGCTCTACAATTAAGGATACAGACAGATATGCACCTATCAAAAAAAGTAACAAATGCTTCAGATGCTGCCGCATTCCTTCACGACAAAATACTTTGTTTTTCAAACAAGAAAATTACAATATCAACATGTCATTGACATTTATTCAAAATCCCATAAAGGGCCTCAACTACTTCCCCCAGAAGTGGGTAGATGCGCTGGGCGGTATGTCATCCTTCCCGGTACCCCATTCGGTGCTCTCGTGAGGGCCGAGGGTCAACTCGAGAGTCCCACCATTGACAAAGAAGTCGTGAGTAATCCAAGACATGGAGTAATCCTCCCCGTCCAGCTTGACGCTCTGGATGTAAATGTTCGCGTACGCGGCATCGAAGTCGACAGCACGGATGGTAGCTGTCTTGGCAGTTTGGGGGTTCGTGATGTTGACCTCGCGGAAGAAAGGCGGGTTGATGAGGTAGACGTTCTGTCCGCTGACGGGGAACAGCCCCATCATTGTGAGGCCGGTGAAGCTGCCCATGGCGCCAGAGTCGTCGTTCCCGGGGATGCCGCTGAGCGTGTCGTTGAAGCTGCCGGGTATGTGCTTGTGGACGTACTCGGCCGACAGGCCCGGGCGGCCTGCAAAGTGGAAGAGGAAGAAGTGGATGTACGACTGCTCATTTCCAACGTACAGGAGGCCCGGGGTATCGTGCAGGAAGCGGAGACGCTTGATGAAGGCGTCCGTCCCGCCGAGCGTGGGGATCAGCGTGGCCTGGTCGTGGGGAACGTAGAAGGTGTACAGCCACGAGCCCCCCTCGTACGTCTCGTGCCCGCCCGGATTGAGGTAGCAGCCATCGAAATTGAGGAGGAAGGTACAGATAGCCGGGTCCTGGTACCCGAACGTGCCGTTCAGGTAGCGTGGCTGCAGGAAGCCCTTGAACCCACTGTCCACCAGCTCCGACGTGCCCGTCGTGTTGAGCTCGGACCGCGAGTCTGCGTCGAACATGTTGATCCAGTTCTCGGATCGCTTCAGGTACTTCTCCGCATCGTCCGTCTTCTTCATGTCGCGAGCCATCTGGGCGATGCAGAAGTCGTTGTACGAGTACTCTATCGTTCGGGATATCGAACGCGTGAACAGGCCTACACCGACTGGATCAAAGTCGTCAGTTGGGACGTAGCCAAGCTTCTTCCAGCTGGCCAGACCTCCGCGGCCCCCGAGGGTCCAGACGGCTGGTTGATCTAGATGATGGGACGTGCAGTCAGTATTGATGGGATACATCCTGTAAGCTACAATGGGCATATTCATTGGTTTTCACCCACCTTCGGCATCCGACACAACGGCTTCGTAAGCCGTCTCCCAGTCGATCCCACCATCGAGCCCCTTGACATACGAGTCGGCAATAAGGTTATCAGCATTGCTCCCGCCCTGCGAGAAACCCTTGCACAGCGACATGCGACAGTCTGGAAGCCTGCCCTCGTGGCGGTACACGTCGATCAAGCTGCGGACCATGAGGGCCTGGGCGTGGGGGTCCAAGAGGGTGAGGAGAGGGTGGGTGCTTCTGAAGCTGTCCCAGATACAGTAGAATGAGTCAAAGTAGGGCTCGTCGCTCTCCCAGAGTGGGTTCTCGCCTGTATGCGTTTGCAGCACACAAGCTCGTCAGCACATGTGCTCTCTCCACGATCTTTGCGGCAAGCCCAAACGCACCTGTGTAGTCTTGCGGCGAGATGAAGGACCTGTAGATCCCGGACCAGAAAGTCCGCTGCAGGGACTCGGAGACACCTTTGCTATCCACGGATACGGCGCCCAGCTTGTGCCTCCACGCGTCGGCAGCGTCCTCCCTCACGCGGGCAAAATCAAAGTCTTCCACCTCCTTCTCGGCATTCTGGCAGGCCTGGTCGACGTTGACGAAGGAAAGTCCGACTCGGGCGAGGATCTCGTTGGACTCGGGGGCCCGGAAGCGCACCCACGCACCAGCGGGTAGAGGGGGGTCGTTGTTGCCGTCCTCGCTGAGAACGAGGTAGTCGGAGGTGTTGCCGGCGCGGTTGTTGATCCAGACCCCTGCATCACGGATGTCGGCACCCTCGAAGTCGGTGCAGAAGTGCAGGTCGTAGGTCCCCACGCCAAAGGACGGGGCGAAGGTGCCGTTGCCGGTGATGCGTCCCGCGTCGGGGTCTACCTTGATCTGGCCATTCGTACGAGAGTCGGACAGATCGGTGAGGTCGGCGAGGATGAGCGGGCTGTACGGCAGCTCCCCACCCCTCTTGTCCTTGGTCGGCTCGGAGGGGAAGGTGAACCTATAGAGAGCCGTGTGGTTGGTCGTGGTCATCTCGGCCCGGATAGAGCTGTTGAGCGAGAGGGCAAAGTAGCCCGGTGTGGCTTCCACCGAGCCATTGTTCCTCGATACGGCGCGGAGGGTCTTGGGAAAGTCACACCTGTTGATGTCGTCGTCTGCACACCCTGTGTAGGGGAACAGCGGGAAATTTCCCAGAGAGGAGCCCTACAGCCTTCAAGGTGAGTACTAGGTACGATCATGGATATATCCTTGAATGCCAGCACACATATATCGTCAAGACTTACACCACCCGTTCCGCTGTCGTGCATGTGCGAAAATCCAGTGACTTG